CTAAGGAAATTATCACTAGGTATCCCTAGGGAGGAGTCTAGGTGATCAATCAATAAGGAGAGGGTATTAGAATGGTTGCATCTTGGGAAAGATTTATTGACGTCGGTCCCCCAACTAATGAAAAGCTTGAAAACTTTGAACGATTGAGCTTTTGCAGCATACTCGAGTGGTATATATCTTTCGCCGTCATGATAACACACAGCCTTATTCGCATCGACTAGTCGAGAGCGAAGCAAGAATTGGATAGCATCAACGTTGTCAGCTTCTAGATAAGCCATAAAGACCTTCTCGCCGAATGATTTGATCAAGGAACTCGAGCGGGTGTTGAAAACAACAAGCTCTAGTTCTTTCATAGTATGGTGTCTATTCAAGAATTTTAGGACACAAGCAGCTGGGATGTTTTCGAGGCCCGCAAATCCATTGGTGATTGATGCAATTAGCCTGCAGTCAAACCGAGCTTCACGAGATGCATCATTCGATAGCCTGGTAAGCTGGCCCCAATCCTCGCTAACGAAGGTTTCCATCGAGTTCAGGGTTTTGGAAACAGAGACGACCGTCCGGTGGCGTATGAAGGTGTTAGGACGTCGTTCGTTCACAATATTCGAGAACTTGAAGAGAAAATTGGGATCTCCTAACTTCTTTAAAGAGCCAGAAGTAGAAGACATAGGTGATCCGAGATAGATATCTGTCCAAGTTAAAAAAGTTAGCTGAAACGACGTTTTGAAATTGTATAGCTCGCTTCGGTCTAGACTTACGTTTAATAAACATGTCTATAAGCTGGGCGGAAGGCAATGGCTTTTGCAACCAGTCACGTCGACTAAACAACACTATGGGGAGAGGGGGGTGGAAAGGGGCTAATACGGCGTGGTACACATTGTTGGTAAAGGACCGGTCCATGCCATGGGCGGAGTTGTTGGACTGCGGCTGGGGTGGGCCCAAATACTCGGCAAGCCCTGAGACACCGCCGAAATTCTGGGAAGCAGGGGGTGTATTGAATGAACTTCTCACGATTCTATCGTCGTTGTTGATGAAATCCCGGGATGCAGACTCAACATTGAATGAATCGCCATCGTTGCTAGAACCGTGGGGTACCAGTAGGAAATCCAGTGAATTGCTCATGAGAATATAATTGTTGTCGTTTGTACCTGTACAAGGCTGCACGTTCTGATCCCACGTAGCGCGGTCGGTCCCTGCGTCGATGAACGCCGTAGAATCAGTTGCAGCGTATTGTACGTGCCTCTCAAAATCGAGCTCGGACACATGTTCACCCCCAACCTGAGATGTACCGTTGAATTCATGGAAAGCTACGCTTAATTAGTCCAAAGATGGTTATATTAGTTGCAAATGACCTCACGAACCCAATTGATGCCTTATAGATGTAACGCAACGCTGAGTTCTTTGAAGTACACCTCCTGAGCTCGGTTGGTTATTAACTTCAATCGTACCTTCTTCGCTCTGTACCTCGGGCATAATTACTGTCCGTTTAGCTGCACGTCGGTTTTTACACAAGTTCCATTTTCGGAATTGGTGTTCGTATTGTGAGATTCTTGGGAGGCATTAATTAGGCGGCGCTGCACCTCACATGGTAATCGAAGTTAGCGGGTGGAGGCACTTACGTAGCAACGAAGTGTTCATTATTCATTGTCTCAATGACACCACCGGGACCTTTAAGCTTACGTTTCTGCGTAGTGTACAGTTCGATAATCCGACGCTTCCGTTCCGCCCATTCTGCAGCTGAGATCTGTCGGGTGTCCGGAAGTGAGGGCATCGCAAGTGAGATGACAGAGGAATACCGACTGTGTGTAGGAAACCGCGAGAGGCTTAGCTGAATTGGCCACCAGGAGCAGCACTATTTCGCAGTGTAGGAGCTGTGTTGGGCCGTGGCTCAAGAATTGTAGAATAATGTGAGACACTAAGGCTATTATTGAATTGCAAATAGCGATGAACTGTTAGAAGTAAAGCATCAGGTGGTAAACAGAAACAATCGATGACGTGATAATAGATATATTGGGATATCAAAACAAACAGGAGACATCCAATAACATGAAAGATGCTTTCACTGAACTACATGAGGAAGAGAATTAATACTCTACAAAGGAGAGACGGCGCTGCAGCTATATATACATGAGCCTAGAGTACAGCAATCGACGAGGCAAGAGGGTTAGCCAAAAGTGCTTAATTGATACCTGAGGCAACCGGTTTATCGTATTGGTCCAGCAGCTGAGCCCCAACTACCAATAGGATCAAATATCCAAGGTTACATCAGGTTTTGTCATCAGGTTTTTTCATCCGGTCCTGCCGTCCGGTTTTACAGTCAGATTCTCTCAGCACCATCACACAGTGCCATACTGTGGGTTTAGACTGTATCACGCAACTCGAGTTTTTGGTGAGGATACATGCTATAGTATTTCAAGGATGAATGGTCGTCTACTTAGGTACTGTTTAAGATGTAAGATTGCTAACACACCTTAAACAACTTTATCGGACAGTCTTTGTGTAGTAATACTGTATACTTTCTGTAAAAGCTGTGGGTAACAACTAACCTGAAGAGAATCATCAAGCCTATTGAATGGCATGACTGTTAGAAGAAATCAGTGGTTTCAATATTTAACCACGTAGTATAGTTTATCTATAAGATACGGTTTGGGAAGCTATCGTGATGGCACAACCTAGGCTTAAGCTGAGTATTAAGGTTATAGTAAGTGAAAATGAACCTGAATGTAAACCTGAAGGGGCTGTCGATATAGCGTGTCTTCGTGAGAAGTGTTGATTTGATATAAAGCCATAAACAAACACAATCGTTTTTAAGGCGTGTAGCTACTCCACCACGTACATATCCTTCAAACCATCCCTTGTCATACTTGGGCGCCTCAAATTTAACACTTGTACTAAGGCATATCGTTACATACCACTGCGTATTACCGTGAGCTACCACATAATTATCAGACTTTGCCATGTCATACCCAGGGATTGTTGCCTTTGATCTTGAGTAGGTCTTCGATTTAATAGCGCCGTTATCATGATCCTTACTCACTAATTCTCCGATAGCGGTACCATTTGGCGTGGTTGGCTTAATGAGAAGTGGGTTGGCCAGAAGGGAAGGGTCTCCGATTATCTTCAGGACAACCTCGAAGTGATCGAATATGGAGGGGAGACAATTATAAGAGACAGAAAGTGAGTGCCCAGCAATTTCGAAAAATCTAAAATACTATTAACTATTCCCCCAATAGGAACGAAGATTTTCGATGTATCATTGCTTCGGATATCGCTCATATTATTCAAGACCTCTGCAAACATGGTGTAGCCATTGCAATTGCCTCCAGGAATACCAACAGGACTCTGTATTTCTATTATGAAAAGCCGCAATTTAAGCCTTGGCCGACTGATACTATGCTAGGACAGATCGCGCCCTTTGGCTAATCAATATTCATGATCCAAAAGACAATATAATAAAGCCTTTTACCAAAATGCTTAAATACGATGAAGTGAAGGACGGTAAGAAGTCTCAAGATTATACCTACCCTTCAAACTATACATATTGACTTTTTCCAGTCTCTAAAATGGAGCACTTCAAAAATATTAAGGAATGGAGTAAGGTGAAGTTTCAAGACATGGTACGACCATTATACTACATTTGCTACTTGCCTCTAACAAAATTTAGATATTATTTGATGATAAGGTTGAGAATGTGGACGTTGAGCTGTGGCAAGGCATGCTTAATGCAACTACATACATAAAGTATTACGATACTTATGATATTCCTAGGTGTCACCTTCATGAAAGTAGACCCGCGATTCGGCGTAACATGGGACGATTATAACCGTGGGCTCAATCGATGGCGTCGCTACAATGCAATCCAGTTTCAAATTCCCCGTAACGGCGTCGAGTCACGAGAAGTCAAGTTCATTGGCTACGTCGGAGCCGACGAAGCCTCCGCCATGAGGTATCAAGAGGGAAAACGGCGTTTAAAAAGCAATCGGGTTTCACGATGGGGTCACGGCATGTACGTGACGGATGATCCGCAAGTGTAAGCTGTCTCACTATCTATTCCATAGTGCAATATAAACTAAGCATCATAAAATCCCAGGGCCGAGTTTTTTGCGAAATTCGGAAGGCAAGATACTCCTTGGAATCAATATGTTGTTGCAGTCTATGCGCGAAACCGGGACGCGTTCGATAAGTTGAATAAGGTAGCCATTTGTATTACAGAGTTCTGTGCTTCCATCGTCTTGCTTACGTGCATTTCGCTATTTAGGTCTGGGTTCCGGAATATGGAACATTTCCCCAAATCAACAACCTAAACCAGACGGATGAAGAGACGGCGAAAAGTCAACATAAGCTCGATAAACTGATCATGAGAAAGTTTGATGTCGAAAAGCCATTCATTCTCTTCTCCCGACACCATCGTATGAAGGGAATGACATTTCTACCAAAGCATACCAGGTTCAACGAAATGGTGGCATACCCAAATCTCCAAGATGCGTTATTTTTCGGCGAGCCGTTTCGAATCGCCAATTTCGTCGCAGATAGGGAACGGGGTCTATGGGGGAATGCGGAATGGCATCGTCGCCTTCAAGAACTAAACATTAAGATGATTCCTGAGACGGTAGAGGATTTCGAAACCCACAAGGAGCACATTGGCTAAGTATAATTCATAAATCGTGGGCCCGAGTTGTGAAGTTTCGAATATTGTATTGCTATAAATCAAGTTTTTTTTTTTTTTTTTTTTTTTTTTTTTTAAAGTAGTAGCTGTCGGTAAGATCGTTCACATAATACACGGCCCATTAGATAATACTGCAGGAGCCCGCACGTTCAATTATACCATTACAACGACGCCCCCAAGCTCAATAGTACATTGTATCAATATTTCTCACTAGCTACCGATTCCTATTCCTATATCATCTCTGCATTGCAAACCTCGAACCAATGGTCTATATACTATCATGGGAACTCCAGCATCACATCACATCATCACGATGACTTCACTCCGAGAATGAAGCGGTCCCATAGCTCAGTTGGTTAGAGCGTCGTACTAATATTATAACTTCCCCTAATCAGGACTATAACATTGGTAAATGCGAAGGCCGTGAGTTCAAGCCTCACTGGGACCAGTCGACTAATTCATTGTGGTTGAAAATCTTTTTTTCTATCTCCTAATTATTGTCTGAAATAGGTATTGTGCTAATGTTTTACTAGGAAGTATTGGGGTTAGCGTTGGTTAGCGGCAACAACTTTGAGCTAGGTATGACCTCGCTCTGGGCTTACATGGTGCACAACAATGAATAGGTTAGGGGGCTGTCTTAGGTGAGGGGGGAAATAGTGAAGTTGCGGCTCAATGGATTTAGTAACTGATTCCTGGGGCTACTAGAAGCTAGCGTCTGGCTAGGGGGTAGAAACCTAAATATACCCAAAGTCATCCAAATCCCGATCGATACCCCATCATTTATCATAGTGTACACCCCGAGCATCAACTTTAATATCTGCTAAAACCATCTATTCTCAAGCCTCGGCGAAGAACGAACCCAGGTTAATAAGCCCAGCATATCCTAGCTATTTTATTTATCCTTCTTTCTAGCTTCTTTCGTTATCTTCAAGCTATACTACACATAGATCTCTCCGTGTTAACTCTATCTCCAACAAAGTCCCTAGGCAACTATGTTCACATGTATGTACGTTTATAGTTGTGTATAAATAATCAACTATCCCCTCTCCTTTCGGCATAGGGACCTGATGTTAATTACCTGGCTTACTATGCTCTCCACCCCCGCACTCCTCCCCGGGAGCTACTGCAGCCTGACCCCCCTGCCAGCAGCGTGAAGGGTGGTGTGGCCACTCTTAGCGGCTGGATCTTATATATCGCGCAACTTTTGACCCGGTAGGCGATTGTATCAAGGCCAATGGACCGTCGTCCATTCAAGGGGTTTCCTTCATCTGGTCTAATTCATCGCTTGGGATTTGGATTCCATCTGCATCGGCGACATACGGGTTAATGCCCATGGCAGCAACATAAATCTCCTCTTGAAGTATTCGACATATTCAAAGGTTGAATGGCATCCGTAGAATTGACATAGACAGCACATTGCTCTCGTCTCTGTGCGGATAGATTTTAGGACCGACCGGATATCCCGCGACTACTAAGTTTGGCGGTCCTCTTCAGATTATGAAGTCTTAGTTCCCTGGAGTCCTAGATTGAGGCAACCTATGGTCATCCTATTAACGTGGTTCTAGATAGCGCCCGTAAATATCTTAGCATTTTCAAGCGTACTAAAATCTTCGGAGTTTTCGGCTCGGTTTCGTCTTATGAGTAGCATAAGAATCCTTAGGCGATTATATGCGTAGTGTCGGCCGAAAAGGGTAGCTCGTGTAAAAGTTAGGGCTAGAGTGGAGGGAGACAGTATTCTGCGCCTATTTACCGCCTCTTCCTCGTACTAAGTTTTTATCTTGCACACCGCCTCGACGGTACCATTACACGGTCATCGGGGGAAAGTCCGTGTTTAGCCATTCTTGCGAGAACCACGACGCAGATTCTACTCCGGTGTTGCCATATGACTCAAGGGCAAAGTCGAAACCATCCATGGCGCCTTCAAAAGCATTGTTGTTATCTAAGCCATCGGGGGGAACCACAGGAGGTAAGTTTGGTCTGGCCATAGTAGGGTCGCTGACCGCAAGATCTGAAAAGGAGGGGTCGCGGCGGTGTTGTGGCGGAATAGGTGTGGTACTAGACATGGGTGTATGGATTGCGCCGTTGTTAGTATTCAAGCCGGGCGATGGCATATTCACCGTCGGTGATGGCACCGCTACCATAGGTGCTTCACCCTCATCTAACAGATGTATATGCTGAGTCTGACTCATGACTTGGCGTGACAAAGGTGGCTGGGATATGGCACCAGTGCCCATGACCTCAGGGGTCTCTTGTCGGCTTGGACTGGCACTTGATGTGAGGCCACGTGAAATGAGCTTTTCAAGATCAGAAACCTAAGTAGAAAATTCCTAGTCAGCGGATTGGCGTAGGCTATAGATAAGTACGTGAACTTACAATTGCGGCACCAGCAGGAACGTGATTCATCGCTCGAGCAATCTGTAAGCACCGATTCCCGTGCTCGACTACTTGATCCATAGTTAATCGCAACTCGGTCTTATTTGTTTGATAGGCAAAGTAGAGCATGCGTGCACATTGATAGGCACAAACAGAAAGATCGAGGTCCGTAACAGGAAGTCCACCATCTAAGGCGAGGATGAGCCTGAAGATCTCAACCATGGCTATGGCGTGTTCGAAGCACTGGCGCGTGCAGTAAGACACAAATTGTGGTTCAAGACGACTAACGCCAGATCTCGGAAGAGCCTCTTTAAGACCACTCAATACGATCCGGTAGAGGTCGCAGTGACACTGCCTCCACCAAACATGGATCATGATATACACGCATAAGCGTGGGGAATAAGCACGCAATTGGAGGTTGCTTTCGGAAAATTTGAAAGACGCGGGTAGGTGATCATTGAAGGTGTCGAGCTCTCGGGAGAGAACTTTGATTAGTTGTGGCAGCTGGGCGACCTCGGACTCAGGCATGTTTAATACATTCTTAGTGCAATATGACACCCTGCTTCTCATCCATAGAAGCCGTACATGCAGGGCTAAGGAACCTACGTCGTCAGGAAATGGTTGTGAAGGCAGTGGTCTGAGGTGGCCGGTGACTTGAGGCAGATCAAACTCGAAATTTCGTTCGTTACATGGCAACTGAATATGGAGCGAGTCGGGAGGAAGCAGAGTAAAATCGGCCTGTCCACCATTGACACCAGAATCGATGGTAAGAAATGCCCACATAAGCCTTCGTCGGGACTCTCTGGCTAGGAAGCATAGACTCGGGTTTTCATAATTCAGCCTAAGAGCGTAGGCAAAACGGGCGGCCGTAGCCGCTAACATAAACGCACTCGCAAACCTCCTGGAGAGGATGCGGTGTTTCATAACAAGCACAAGGGCCTGGATTTTAATCGTAGAGGGATTCTCGAGGTCTTGCAAGACCATGTTTTGGCATTCGTCGATACACCTAGCACCGTACTCGCGCATACCAGGGCCTAAATCTGTGAGTAACGAGGTAACACCGACAAGAGCAAGTAAAAGGGCTCTGTCCATCATGCCAGCATGATAGCGTTGCATAAGGGACGCACGATGGAGGAACGAGAAAACCGGGACGTGGTGCACATGACGGAAATAGTGGCTGAAGGTGCGCTGGATCAGACTTTCGTCTGGATATATGAGTCTAATATTCCCCATATTAGCCATTATGTACTATGAAGATAGTGGTACCAGTACACGTACGGGTCGAGACCAAGCCTCTTAGAAAGCGAGCCCCCGGAGATGTCGAAGTTCTCATGGTCCGCACTGCCGTTGCGACCATGGTGAGAGCCATGGTGGTCCCTCTGGGTCATTGTCCTCTTCTCTGGGGGCTCTGACGCAACGGATTCATGCTCGGAGTCGGTAGTGCCATGTTGTTGGCTGCTCGCGGCGGTACCGTTGATACCGGCAGACCGCTTGGTGGGACGGTAGATACACTCGATGCCCTGGGACTGACATCGCGCACATTTCGGGGTCTCGCCGGTACACCGCGCCTTTCTGGAGTGGCAGTTCGTGCAAGCTAGTCTCACTCGTCGTCGTGGCAAACTGAAGGCCGTGATGCTGTCGGAGTCGGCGTGTGGCGAACCTGCGTCTTGGAACGAGCAGGTGAAGCCGAGACGCTCGCAGTTCTGGCAGATGTCGCGGCGGCCATCACACCGCACCTTTCGCAGACGACAGGTCGAGCAGGTCTGGCTGGTCTTCTTGGGAGGGCGGTTGGCCGGGTCGGCGGCAGCAGCATCAGCCGCAACCTCAGCAGCCGTGTCTGCTGCCGCCACCTGAACGCTCATGTGTTCCATATCCATGCCTCTCGGTGTCGAGGACGATGGGTGGCCGCGGCAATGACAACACGAAACCGTCGGTCGGATCTCGCGTGCTCACTATTGCTAGCTCCCGCACTCGCCGGTTGAAGCAGTTCCGCCTTGCGATGGGGTCGTAAACGGCATCGGTCCGGACGGGGTCGCTAGGTGGTGGGATTCGCGTGACGGCGTGTTGTCGTGGTTGATGGCGATGGCGCAATCGGAGGCATTTGGGGAGTGGGGGGGAACAGACAGAGGACGTCGCGGGATCGTCGACTTGTCAAAATCGTCAAAAACAAGAGCGGAAATGGAAGCCGGCAAAGACGGTGGGCGGATAGCGAAGACGACCCATCGGCGACTAGGAACAGTCACTCAGTCACTCAGTACATACCTCCTCTAACTACCTATGCGTACCTATGCGTAGTGGATGTGGCAGTTAGGCGTTACAGTGGGTCATCCCGGTCGATACGAAGTATAGATACAGTGGACCAGCACATAAGGACTAAAGTCTCGTATACAATTCTGAGAGACAAGCAGAGACAAACAAGTATTGGATACCTGCAAAGCGTGCAGGGTACAGGCTGGACGTTGGTAATCCTAGGCAGAACCTGGAACTGACATGGTTGGTTACATCATGCAAGCAAATGTAGGTACAACCTGGTACAGAAAAATGTCTCGAGTTTCTTTTTAACAACATCAAACCACTTTGTTTTCAACCACCTACCTACACACTCTTCTGCTTGGCCAATGTGAGGGGAAGAGCGCCAACACAGAAGAAAAAAAAACCCGCAATCGGCTAAAATATGATTCAAAGACACGTGGATGGTACTCATCCGGGGGACCTACATATATAAAGACCAGCATAAGAGATTTTCATCCGTCTACCTGCAACAGATCTAGATTGCATCGGAGCGATTCCGAGACAAAAGGGAAAAGGGGTTGGAACGTCGGGAGCGGTGTAGAAAGCGGCTGGTCCGTCTGGTCGAATTGCTATCGAGGATTCCCAATGACTACATATAAGCGCGTTATCACGTCATGAATGACGGATTGCGATTCTTGCGTCTTTTGCCTCGAGGATGTCGTCATAAGGGAACACATTGGCAGCGTCTCAGCGTCTTGGAAGTCGGATGGGAGCAGACCGTCCACCCATTGGGGTCCCTTTCTAAAAGAACACGGCATGAAAATACAGGACCGAGCCAAGACA